TCCAGATTTAATCTGGATTAAATATTTGTATTTCATCCGATTTCTAAATCAAGATTAAAGTATATTTTAGTCCTAAAGAAAGTCCTGGAGGAAGAGGAGCCACAGAGGAGCAGAGGGAAAACACCAGTCTGTCCCCCACAGAACCTCTCACTCTCTCTCTCTTTACTCACCCACCGCCCCGCACCAAAACACACACTTACACACACAAAGAGAGAAAGACACAGCCGTTCCCACAAAGCTAATAAATGAGCGGTGGTCCGGTGTGCTGTGTCGGGGGGGTGAGGGGGGTGGAGGGGGGCGGTGCTCATCAGATGACCTGCTCATCAGATATATCATGGCAGCTCTGCTCCACTGGAGGCTGTCAAACACCTGTTCTCCCATCAGGAGAGGTGGTGTTAATGTGCTGCGGCTCTGCACACACTGAACCTAAACACACACACACGCACACACACACACACACAAGTAGGTGAGCTGTAATTAGGGGGAGGGGTCTCCTGATATTCTGTCAGCTTGTTATTTTATAGAGAGGAACAGGAGTCCTAAAATCAGATGAATGGCCCAGTCCTACAGAACATTACTGACCGCTTCATCACAGAGTTCAGAGGTCAACAAACGTTACCTGGAAGGGAGGGTTCTACCTCCTACCTGCTGCCAGTTTTAAACAATAAGTATACGGTTCGTAATCTGGAGGAAATCTGTGGAGTTGATCCTTCTGGTTTCAACCGGCATTCTGGGCTCACACCACAGGTGGTCACAATGACCCCGCCCCTCACGCAGTGGCTCCACCCACACTTCCACGCCAGGGTTCATCGCTCTCTCTTTGTGTTTTTCTTGTATTGTAGGAGTCGAAAATATCCAACTGCATTACTGAGAGGAGTTTATCCCCAAAGTCAGAGGTCAATGTTGAACCTGTCATCAGTCAAATGAATGTCAGAGGTCAAGAAGTGAGCAGGTAGAACACGTGTGTTCTCTGTAGCTCAGAGAGAACCCTGATCAGTTCTAAATTCAGGTCTTAAATCTGACATGTTTGGTTCTTCAATTCATTCAACTGTAAGTCCACTTTTTGTCACTAGGGGGCGACACAAATCAATAAACGCTGTAAGTCCACTTTTCTTCACTAGGGGGCGACACAAATCAATAAATGACTGGCATGGGGCTCAGGCGTTGGAAAGATTCAAACGGACTCTGGTGGAAAACCAGGAATTAGTTTAAATTCTAACTGAAACCATTATTAACTTTATTAAAACTATATTTGTAAAAAATGTATTTCTTTATATTTATTATATTTAAACGTGTTTAATGTTTTTTCTCTGCATTAGGAGTTCGCCGTGATAATAGTAATAACAGTAGTTCAGGAGGAACAGGAGGAGGAGGATGAATGAGGCGGAGACTCCTGCTCTCAGATCACTCACCGTGACACGCGCTCCTCTTCGTCCCTCACTGGTGTCTCAGAGGTGGAGGTGGCAGGAGGTCGGAGGAACAACTGTGAGGATTTACATGAAGAACATTTACTGCGACTCTGTCGCTGGACATACAGGCAAGTGCGTGTGTGTGTGTGTGTGTGTTTGCTGCTGCTCCTACATTCTCTTTTGCGCAGAATCAATCCACAGCTGCTGAGGCTGGACGTCTGCTCCGTTGCTGATGCGGTTTTTTAAAGATCAGTTTCTTCACAGTAGAACTTCAGTCGAACTATAACTATTTACATTGAACCATAGAACTTTATTAATCCTTTGGGAGTTCAGGGAGTGAAGGCTCCAGCAGCAGTACAGATTAATCTACAGTATCTTTCTATCATCACAGCAACAGTACAACAAGAACAACTGGAATCGAATCAACACAACACAGACAAGAGGAGCATCAGAGATAAAAATGAAAATAGTTGTTTTATTTTATCTTGTTGTTGTTTTCAGTCACTATGTCGTACTACACTAACACGTACTGCTACTGTGGCTGTATATGTATTTATTCAGATTTGAATCACAGTTTGACATGAAGACAAAGTCCTTTAGATTTGTGTTTACAAACAAAGACTTTTGTTTTAAACAGCAGTTCACCCACCAGGTCATCTATTATTTAAACTTATCTATTATTTACTGGGTCTGAATAAAATCTTTTACTCTGTGTCCAGAACTAACCCTTACTAAATGACTAAACTTCCTGTGTTGGTTTTAAAGGTCCTGACCAGAACAAAACACAACAGAACACCAATACCAACATTTTTGTTTTTAGTCCAGAGCTGCAGCAGAGCAGTACGACCTTTATAAGAATATTTAAATGTGTACCTTGTACACAAGAGCCACAGATATGACTTTAATAATAAAACAAATGTAAACAATGAAGTAAAATGTCAACATTAGAGGCTTGAGAGAACTTGAGAGTTGAGAGACCCCTCCTTTTAGTCATGATGTCATACTGACCCCGTGATGTCAGAGTGAGTACAGCTGTGAAACTGAGCAGTTGGTCAGTGGGCTGTCTGTGCATCCACCCTCTCTGTGGACGGAGCAAAAGGTGCTGAGAGCATTTGCACTGGGTCACTGATCACTGATGGGGGTGTGTGTGTGTGGGGGGGGGGGGAGTCAGTTGTCCACAGCATCTGCAGAGCTGGAGAGTTTTTTTTCTTTCTTCTTAAGCATCTGCTAAAGGCTAAAATAACTTTTTCACCAGTGGCATTCACAGAGTGTCAGTCTGAACCGGTCTGAACCGGTCAGTCAGAGCCTGGTCAGAGATGTGGTTTGGGTTCAGGTCCTGACTCCACACCTTCTTAATATTAGAGACAAAGTTTGGTTCAGGACAGCTTAGTGAACACACTAGTTAGGCTTGTGTGTGTGTGTGTGTGTACACAAATGGTATGCGGTACGGCTAACAGAGAATGAGCCATAGGTTTTTATCTGACCTCTCCCACGGTGACCTTTCACCCCTCAAGACAAGCTCTTTGTGTCCACGATCTAAGTGGCCATGGGAGAACCTGTGTGTGTGTGTGTGTGTGTGTTTAGTGGTAGTATAGACCCCATCAAGTCTTATACATACTTTAAACCCACAACCTGACCTTTGACCTGGAGCTCATGAGACGTCCTCCTCCCTGACACATGTTCACACATGACAAAAAGTGTGTTTGAGTGTGTGTGTGTTGGGGGGGGGTCATTTATACATTAAATTAAATAAATATTCTGTTACTTTCCTTTCTTAACAGTGAAAAACAGTTTTTTCCAGATGTTCCTCACTGTCAGTGAACTCACCACTGAGGTCGTCAACAGAACTAGTAACTATGTGGAAAGTTAAAAAAATTTATTCACTTGGTCTAAGGTTGGACAACATTATAATAATTAACATTATTTATCAGAATGTCAAAACTATAAAAAGTTGTTGGTACTTTTTAGTTGGTACTGTTTAGTCCAAACGTGTGTGTGTGTGTGATCTGATAACCACGGCTCTCTGTTCTCTGTTGTCTGTAGTTCTGGGACTGACGGGTCATAAAACACCACAATAGTGTCTCTCACCCTCACCCCTGGGGTGACTGAGGCAAAGAAAGAGAGAAGAGGAGGTAGCTGTGGGGGAGGAAGGCAGAAGGAGAGGAGTGGGGATGGGAGGGGGGGTCTGTTCCACATGT